AGCAGAACATTAAGAAAAACTCTAGAGTTACAGATCTGTTATTTTTGACATACTTGTCACATGTATATTTTAGTCCCGGTGCATGATTACATGTTAACACAAATTTACACCGGCATGTTAAAGTTTTTGACATAGATCAATCAGTTAATTGTGCTTTATGTACTGAACTCCATTTTGTGTTATTTATTTGTTTATTCATTGTTTTCATTATTTACTCAGTGTGATTCTGTTTCCAGGAACCAGGTTTTTTCCACTCTTTTGTCCACTTGAGTTTTGCGGGTGATAGCCCTGTGCCTTTTACTTCCTCCATGCTTCTGTCTGGCTGCCTGGGGCTTACTGCTCTTATATTTTTAACTTATCTATTTGGTTGTTGTTTTAATTGAGATGCAAAAAAAAAAAAAAAAAAAAAAAAAAAAAAAAAAAAAAAAAAAAAAAAAACAGCATTTGCAGGCTTGGTTGAACCTGCCTGTTCTTCTTAATAATTAATTGTAAGTTAGGTATATTCTGTGAATATTTCCCTGACATTTTCCCCGACGGGCAGGCTCTGTTTCCTTCACAACATGCTTGATCTTTAAGTGCAGGAGTTCCTGAGCGAGCCAGGCCGGTAGCTGCGGTCCGGTCACTGTGTGGTGCCTGCTTGGTACCTGTGGGTACTTGCCCTGAACTTAACCTGAGACTGGCAAATATTTGTTGATCCAGTTGATATCCTTTTTGCCCATAACTCTGTGGGATTTTTGTTTGGGCTTTTTTTCTTCTGTAGTTCAAACCTGCTTTGTATTTCTCTGTGGTGGCAGTCTCCGCTTGTGATGTTTACATTGTTGCTGTTCTGCGGGTCCTGCTATCTGCTGCCTCTCCTGTCTTCTCTCTCTTCTCTCGCCCCAGATTTTGACAAATAGGTCACAGCCGGCAGAATGAGAAAATGTAATGAACTCATGCCGTGCTGCTTAGTTCTGTGTAGATCTTCAGCTTGAAGACTCTTTAAACATGTATGCGGACAGAATTGAAACGAGTTCCTCCTAGGGGAGGCAGATCTGCACGGTGTAATTTATATAATTCTTTACTTTTCCCACGCAGTGAATTTCTATTGCAATCACAATATGATAGTAAACCCTTAAAGCACCTACTCTGACAGGCTTTTATGCACTGGTAATAAAAACTGAATGATACAGTATACAGTGTCCCCAACACAATAAACCGCAATCAGTCAGGCAACACAAAGGGAATAACCAGAAATAGGTGCCACGTTATCTCAGGGCACAGGTGCACCTACAGTTGGCTCCATGTGGCCTGCTGGCTATGCTTGGCTTCTGCATTTCCAAACGGTAAAATCCAACCGGAGGAACATCTTGGGACCTGTGAGCTGGGGTGGGATTCTAGCTTCTGTGTATGGAATCACAGCGGCACTGTCGATCTTGGTATCAACTACAGCTGCTTGGGCACGGCAAAGGGGCAGTGAGATGTGGCCTGAAAGCTGAAGCCGTTTACCAGCTGGCCTACCTCAGGCCACTGGCTGCCAGGACCCAAACCGCAGAGTAGCCTGTACCCACTGTAGCTTGTGTTCAGCCTTGTAAAAACCATCAAAAATTCATTTGATTTTTTCCCCCCAATAACCATTTTCCACACTACATAGCGTGACAATATTGTGAGAGATTGTGGCTTGGGAAGGCACATTCTGTGTGTTCACGATCACTTCCCCTGCCAGAGACACCCAGCATCCCCAAACATGTGTATGCGTGTGATCAGTGTTGCGTCTGTTTGTTCTTTGAATGTGGATATTAAGAAGCCTTGTGTGTGTGTGTGTGTGTGTGTGTGTGTGTGTGTGTGTGTGTGTTTCCTGTCACTAACCGCCTTGCAGGTGAGAGTTAATCCATCCCACGGCTAAGAGGAGTGTAGATGCTCACACCTGAGCCTGAAACTCGGGCAGAATCACTGTGGGAGCCACCTGCTCGGCCCTTATTTGCCATAATGAATGGAACAGGGGCCACTTTTCCCTTGATCTTTTCTTGCCAAGGAGCAACTGGGGTGGGCAGGGTCCATGATAAATGTCTTAGTTCAAGAAAGGGGTGAGGTGGCACACACCTGTAATCTCAGCACTCTGGGAGGCCAAGGCAGGTAGATGGAAAAATCAAGCCTGAACTATGTAATTTACTGATTTAGTGAGATGCTGTGTAAAAATTAAAATGCAAAAAAGCTGAGGCTGTAGCTGAGTACAAACACCCTGGGTTCAATGGCCAGTGCGAGAGAAGAGAGAGACAGAGACAGAGACAGAGTCACTCTGATGAATTTTGAATGAGCTCAGCCATCAGAAAAGGGCAGCAGATTTTTAAATACAGATGTATGACTTCGTGCACCAACACCCAGCTTGTGGCTGTTTCTGAGGCTCCTTCTCCCCCGCCTGTACCCTCTGTCCCAGTGGCCTCTGTCCAGGCGCCTCCTCCACTGCACCTGCCTCTCCTATTTCCCGCTGGCTCCCTGCCAGTCTCAGGTGCACCCAGCAGGTGGGTGGCAGGCTGTGGCCTCTGGGATGCAGGAAGTGGCCTGTGCACCCTGCTTTCTCCTATTGCCGTTTCCCATGTTCTGCTTGGCACATGGGGGCTGGGACAGCATCTTTGGGAGAGTGTCGGGTCCCCAGGGCTGGGTTGATGACAGGAAAGAGCAAGGCTAGAGGAGCAAGCGAGAGCATCTATCAGCAGCTCCTCCTCCTCCAGTTCATCTCCAGCCTGCTGTGCTGCCTCTGCAAATTTCTTTCTGTTTTCTCTTGATTTTTCCCACAGAGGAGGGACAGGAATCAGTTCTTGGGGGTTTTGAGACATTTCAGGCAATGCGTAAATGCTGCCCCCAAGCATCTGTCCCCATGATCGCCCCAGATCTCCACCTGGGCGGTGCACTGCCCCTGTCCCTGTCCTTGCTTCACAGAAGTGCTCCCCAGGTCTGGCTGCCATCACAGGCAGAGAGGCATAGAGTGGCGGATGGGCCTTCTAGCTCAAGGCCAGGGTGAGGGGTCAGACAAGGCTCATTCCCAGAGACCTTAAGGCTGGGATCGCATTTGATGCAGGGAGCCTGTCAGGACACTGGAGTCACTCAGGCTATGCTGGCCCAGTGAGTTGGTGGGGGTGGGGCAGAGGGCCCAGAGACTTCTGCAGAGGATATTTTTATTCTGTTAGCAGGGGAGGTGAGGAGTGGGGAGGTCCTGAGCTAGGCTCAGCTGTGGCCTCACTGCTGCAGCCCCCCCCCTGCCCTGAAGGACCAGACCAGGCAGTACCCCTTCTGCTGAGGCTCTTTGTTCTTACTTGGAAATGAATTTGTTAAATCCTTCACACCTTTATTGTGTTCTGTTGAAGCTAAGAAAGTGCTTAGTGCTGGGTTTTATTCCTCCTTGTAGTAAAGATTTGCTTATAAAACATCTGTAGAAGAAGGTCCTGAAGACTGATTCTATCATGGTAGTACCGATGCCCTATAATTTGAATCTGTTGTCTGTCTTAATCCTCTTTCACTCTAAAACGGAACAGCTCGGCTTGGGTGACTTGTACAGAAGAGACGCTTATTTTCTCAGATTTTGGGAGGCTGGGCGACTGAGGTCAAGGATCTGGTACTTTCTATCTGGTGAGGATTTTCTTTCTGAGTCTTCCAAAGAGAGAAGGGAGAAAGGCTAGTGCTGGTGGAAGAGTCTCAGTCTGTCTGTCCATCTCTGTCCATTTGTCCGTCCATCATCTATCCCTATCTGTCAGTCTGTCGGTCTGTCTATCTATCTGTCTTCTGCTGGGGACTGGACTCAGGACCTTTGCAGTGAGCTCCATCTCCACCTCTTTTGGAGATTCTTAATTCTGAAGCAGGCTCTTACACCCAGCTGGAAGCTTCTCTTTTAAAGGCCATCCTTTAATTCATAAGAAGAAACCCTGCTGGCTGGGTCATCCCTTAATGGTGCCACCTATTAATGATGTCCCTTTTGAATGTTGGGGGTCACAAGCAAACCACAGAACTCTTACATCCTGTCTCATTCTAGCAGGTTCCCAGTGTCTTCGGGTGACTTCCTTTTGCCCTGCAAACAAGGGCGATCAAGGCTCTGGATTAGGTCCTCTCCAGGCTGTCCACCAGTGTCAGTCCAGCCCACCTTTCCCTCCAACCCTCCCAGTGGTTTTCTCTGAGTTCAAGCTGTACCTGGCTCCAGCTGGGGTCCAGAGATTGTGTCTCTCCATCTCTCCTTTACCTAGAAGCCTCTGGCTTACTGTCTGTCTGTCTCTTCAGCCTATGTGGGTACTGTGTCTTCCTCAACTGTGTTCTCCCAACATGTGGCTGCGGGCTGGTCCCACTCTGTCTTGTGTCACAGAAGTCACAAGTGCATTGCTCCATCCCCTGATGGGACCTTGCAGACTGGAGCCCACCACTTGATGCCTCTTGATGGGTTGATTTTCCTGTCTCAGGAAGGTCCCACATTTCCACAAATATTCCCTATCCCAAATGAAAAACTGAAATGAGAAATAAATAAGTGACATGTTTTTATGAGTGCCAGAGATGACAATAATAACCCAAGCACTGGCTGCCCCATCCACCTTGGTAAGACCTTGGATGTCTTTGAACTTTGGTTTCCACTTACATTTTTAAAAAGTGTGAAAATAACTCCCTTACTAATTCCTTTTCATTTCCATCAGGATAAAACAAAATGTGACATTTGAGAATATTCTGGAAGTCATTCAGTTATTTCAGATATAAAACTATGTTGCTTTATTCCGTTTCCATAGGGCCCATGTTTAAGAGAAACTTGGTGGGGATGTGGGAAATAAAAGCTGCACTATGCAGATACTGTGTGTCCAGCCTTTCAGTGGGGTTTAACAGCAGCTCCTGACTGACCCTCCTGGGGTGGGCAGGGAAGCAAAGGAGGCTGGTTCAAGGGCTCCATCTGAGATTTCAACATTGGCCCCTGGGTCTTGCTCAAGAGCACCAGCGTTCCTCCTTCACGATCCCGTGTAACCCGAACTCCATGTCTCTGGCTTCTCTCGCAGGCTTCCATCTCTACCACAAACTGCCCACCATCGTGCCTGAGAGCTGCCTGCTCATCATGGTTGGCCTCCTGCTGGGCGGCATCATCTTCGGTGTGGACGAGAAGTCTCCGCCGGCCATGAAAACCGACGTCTTCTTCCTGTACCTCCTGCCCCCCATTGTGCTGGACGCAGGCTACTTCATGCCCACCCGCCCATTCTTCGAGAACATCGGCACCATCTTCTGGTATGCCGTGGTGGGGACGCTCTGGAACTCCATCGGCATCGGCGTGTCTTTGTTCGGCATCTGCCAGATCGAAGCCTTCGGCCTTCGTGACATCACCCTGCTGCAGAACCTGCTCTTCGGCAGCCTCATCTCAGCCGTAGACCCGGTGGCCGTGCTGGCCGTCTTCGAGAACATTCATGTCAATGAGCAGCTCTACATCCTGGTCTTCGGAGAGTCCTTGCTGAACGACGCGGTCACAGTGGTGAGTGACAAGTCCCCCGTGCATCCGGATGACACACAGGGCTGCTCATGCCTCAGGAGGGTCCCTCCAATGACAGAGAGGGAGAATCCCAACCAAACTCACTCTGCCATGAGCTGTCACAGCTCAGTGTGACACCAGAAACAGGAGTGCTGTCCACTCAGAGAGTCAGTCCTTGAGCTGGGGTCACCCTGTCCTGTTCAGTCCTGATGCTGTCTCACAGAGGAGACAGCCTTCAGATCCAGCAGCTGAGGGTGCAGCCCCAGGGCTCCCCATGCCATGCCAAACCCAAGTCGGGTCACTTCGCCTGTGCCTGTGACCCACAGGCCGTTGCCTGGCTTTCCTGTAGATGCCTCTTTGATAGAGAAGCTCCGAGCTGGAGAAAAATTTGCCCTATTTCCTGGTTCAGTATAAGGACAGCAGAAGGGACACAGGTGGAAAAGCCATCTGGCAAGGTACTGGGAAGGGGCAGGAGCCCCTAGGCACCTCCACACCCCGATCTTGGGGTAATTTCTGGAGGTGTCCCTACAAGGGCACAACTGATCACCTACCTCATTGGTCACTGGTGATTAACTTGATTGAGCCGCTCCCCTTCTGGGAGGCTGGGGCTAAATGTCCCACTCTGAGCCCTGCTATGGTCTTTCCACTGACCACCTCTCATCCCAAAGTCACACTGAGACTGTGTGCCACCCACCGTTAGCAGACACCTGTCACCTCTGAGATTCCAAGGGCTTTAGAAGTTGTGTTCTAGGACGCAGAGGGCAGACCACGTGTCTACTTCGCAGTGTCACGGCTCCTCCTTGCTCTGATGATTTGAGGCTGCTGTCCTGAAGTGCTTCATGCGTTTGTTCATTAATCACTTACCTTTATTTCTTCTAATAACCAGCCCCCTGAGTTCTGTTTTGCCCTGGATCTGAGGAAGGTCCTTGGCTGGTCGCTTTATCCCTGGCTCTGATTATGCAGGAAGGGCTTGATCTTGATGTGGTCTCCACATTTTCAAAAGCTGTGGTCTTTAACAATGATGTAAAAGACTTCAGCATGCAGGGGTCTCTGTGAAGAGTATGCTGTCAGTACACAAGGGAGAATTAAAAGTTACAGTGTTTAAATTTAAAAAATAACTTATTTCAGTAAAGGACACATTGCCAAGAACGATGGGATAAATTCGGCAAAACTAAGGAGAATGTCTTTAGTATTTTAAGAAGGATTGATAGCAACGTCCCTTTCACTGCAACCAACTTTTTAAACATCTGAACTCACGTGGCATTTCGTGATTGCACCTCCTATGGTGCGTGTAGTAACCTATGAAATGCTAATACCTACTAGTGGCCTCCTCCTCTGTTTGGCTGGTTTGTATATTGTATTAACGATCTCAGAGACATATCTTCTTTGCCATGCACTCATTTCCTGTTACTACTCAACTTACACACTTCTGGGCCTCCTCATTTGCCCAGAAGTGGCTGTTTATTTAGAAAACACAAACGAGTGTTAATTCCCTTTTAATTGGCACATAGAGTCAAGGCTATTATGAATTTAATGTGGGGAGAATCTGTCTCCACCCTGATGAAGGTGGAGAGGAGGGTGGGGAAGGTATCTTCTGTCACCCACAGACCTATGCCAGCACCCCGTCCTCCAATCTTGTCCATGCTTGGGATCCCTGCAGTGACAGCCCCCAGCCTTTGTGCGTCTCTCTTGGCCGCAGCTCTGGAGGATGGACCAAGAAGTAGCTGTTCTGCCCATTTCACAGATGAGAAAATCAGGGCAGGAGAACACTAAGTAAAGTGCTTGAGTAACTTAATTGTTAATGCCTCTCCATCATCTTCTACCATTATGTTATTTCTGGCTCATTTAAGAATTTACATACAGACTCACTACTTTGTGAGCTATGCTCCACTGTAAAAGTAGATTCCTGAGCTAAATAAAATATCATCTCTAAGGACGTCCATTAACTTGCTGGGAATGTCATGAGGTTCCAAATAATTTATTGACAGATTATTGATCCTAATTTTCAAAACAGCCAGTAAGACATATTTTAAAACCACTAAGTCAACTCACCGAATCCACTTCGTACAGTCCATCGTGTATTGACGGTGATTAGTTATTAACCTTCAGTATTACATTTTAACTGCTCTAATGGTTAAGACATTTGCTTACCCCTTCTAACTTCCTCAGGCATCGAGTTTTCCATTGTGGTTATGTCTGGTATGCAGATTTTACCCTTGTTGAAGGAGACTGTGGATACTTCGTGTGAAGTTCTCAGAATAGAACTATGTGTTGCAAAAGGGACTTTTTGAAGCACGAAGGTCACTTTGCTGTGTTCCCTCCAGGGGAGCTGGGGAGGACCAGTTTGTTTCAGAATGGTGCTGTGTTTATGCCCATGCCTGCCTTCCATTTGTAGGGCTCTATTCTTTCTTTCTTTTTTTTTTTTTTTTTGGTTCTGAGAATTGAACTCATGACCTTGCACTTGCCAGGCAGGCACTTATGCCACTGAGCTAAACCCCCAGCTCTAGGGCTCCATTCTTTGAGTCTGGCAGAGTCAGATCTGAGGAAGGGAATGGCCTTGCACTCCTGAGAAGGTGTGAAGGAGGTCGGCAACCCAGAGGCACGGCCCAGGAGTCCTCACTATGGAAGGGTACAATGCCATCAACTGTGGCTTGATGGGTGGAGAAGGAGGGCTGGCCAGAGGCGGGCATAGGCCTACCTGCCAGCCATTGCTCTGGCCCAAGGGGGAAGGAGGAGGGCAAGGACAGAAAAAGGGCACAGTGGTGCTGGCGTCCCTGGTCAGGACCCCTGAGTCCTGAGGGCTGCAAACCCAGACACACAGGGCACTGGCGTGACCAGGTATTTACCTCCCTAATGCCAATGAATGTGCCTCCTGAGGCTTCTCTCACATTGGCTCACTACTATGCTGAATTGAATGTAGTAGTTAGGAACAGATTGGTGCATAAAAATCACAACTTTGCCTTCTAGTCAGATACTGGCAGAGATGTTTTGTGGAAGGTTCTCTGGTTCATTCATCAGGTTTGATCCTTAGGAGAGGTTTACGAACCTCACAGAACAGGAAAAGCTTCCAAGCATGTGGGTTGTGATGCCTGCACCCTGAACGATGCACCCTAAAGGATACAGGTGAGCTAAGAGAGAATTAGGGTTCAAGGTGTAGACTTTGAGCAAGTTTCGCCCAATCCAGATGATGATAAATTAAATTTGAGCTAGAAAGGTGAAAGGGAATAAACCTAGCATTAGAGAATCTTAAATCAAGAGAAATGGAGAAATATATAAATTGCAGATCAAATGACTTAAATATGTTCACATGGTAATTTCCAGTATCATTGCTGAGATCTGTTAATGTAGGAATGGAGGATTCTCATACATCTTCCAATAAGACTTAAACATCTCCTCAAGTCATTTCTGGTGGTCTACCCATCACCAGGCTAGAGGAAGGAGAGCTGACTCTCTGGACAGAAGCTCACATGGGCCATGATTGTGGCTACAAAGCATTTTGAGTTCAGGAGGTGGAGGGAAAAGGGTGACTGCCTAGAATTTAATTTTGATTTTGCAAACAGCAATACACACCTGACACTCGTTAAGCAAATCTGATTTTATCTTATGATGCATCTGAGAAAGAGTAACCTGCGTGTGAGTGCTGCGTTCCAGAACTGAGCTGTTGTCCTAAGCCGCTGTGTTTGCATAATTTGCATCTTTGCTGTACAGGGCTTCACTGAAGTAGCGCACATTTTAAATCAAATTTTCAAATATACAGTTTCTTCTCATTTTATGTATATACTTTACAATGAGATTTGAAATAATTTTAAGAGACCTTTGGCCGTGTGATAAGATTAAAGGTGCTCACCTGTCTGATTAGGCTTGTGGGGAATTTGGTAGATAGATCACTAGAATTGTAATCCCCCGAGGATGCTGAGGCCCAGTAGAGGTCACCCATCCATAGCTCCCTGGGGATAGTTTGTGGTCCGCGTACATCATATATTTACATATAACATACAATGTGAATGCATAAATCAACTTTTTGCTGCATAGATTCTCTTGAATAAAACCAAAGCATTTCACCAGAATGAGCTGCCTGTGGGCTGACAGCCAGCTATAACTTAGAGACTTTTCCCTACCTCACCCCTTGTGATCAGGTTCATCAGAGGTGTGTTTGGGGGTGGAGGTTGTGGAAGGCTTTCTGGCTGTCACAGCAGTGTCCCCACCTGAGCACTTTCTCTGTTCTGGTGTGGGCTCTTGGCCAGTAGTAGCCTGGGCAGCCTGAGCCTCTCTCTGCCCAGTGTGCTGAAGGCACTGGCCCTGCCCTGCAGCTCTGCTCTGATATTTAAAATAGAATCGCCCTTTGAGACCTCAGAGCAGTTTCAGAAGGACTGTGAGCCTGTAACCCTTTGCAGTGCTACTTCTGTGGGCGGAGCCCTGGGCTTCCCTTGGAGGCCAGTCAGCCTGTGAGATAGATGGGGTTGGGGACAGGAGAGGTTGGGGACTCCCTGGGCTCTGTGAGGGAGGAAGAGGAGGAGGAGGACTGCAAGCTTTGTTGGGCAAATGAGTTTCTCACTCTGCAAACAGCATCACCCATACAAGATGGTCTCTCACACAGGGCTGACTGGTTTGGGAACCAATTTGTGAGCTGTGAGCCGCAGGGGGTTCACCAGGGCCAGAGGAGTCCAGGAAGGGACCTGGAGGGTGGAGGTAGAGGAACTAGAGCTTCAGCCCCCCTCCCCCCCCCCCCGCAGCAGACAGGTGGTTTCCCTGATTTCAGGGATGGAATGAATAGATATGGTACCTAGAGTAGCAGGGCTGAACCCTGCCTCAGGCTTCCCAGGATGCTGGAGAGCAGCAAAAGTAAAAGAAAAGTGTGGCAGGTGTGAAGAGACCGGCCTTGCAAAAGTCAGGCAGCCTGCTCGTGACCATCACCCTGGGTTTTGGCAGCTCGGAGGCAGAGGTATTCATAGCACATCTGTGATCCTCTTCCAGGAAGCGGCAGCATCCCAGTGCTCAGGTCCTGCTGCCAGCACTGGCGGAAGAGTGGAAGGGCAGCTCCTGGGATGCTGTTTCTTCTCGCTTGGCCAGTGGGGATGGCTTCCAAAGGGCTCCTTCCTCCCTCGAGGGAGAGGCCGTGCTTTTGTTCTTCTCCATGCCATTGCTCAGTGGTGGGGTTCCACAGCCCCTGAAGTGTTAGCAATAATAATTAGGAGAAGAAATGTTCACTGCTTTGCAAGGAAATGTTCACTGGTCCTTTAAAGCCAACACATTATAAACTGGGCTACATGGACGACATAAATCACAGTGAGGGGTTGGTTTACCCTAAGGAGTTTATAACCCAAAAAAAGATGAAAAACTATGCCAAACTTGTCATGTGGAGGGTATAAAAAGGACCACAAGTGATCAGAGAAAGACTCAGGCTGCTCACAGAAGGAGCCTGACTCACCACTACCAGGCCGGGAGGCTCACACTCTAATATCACCTCTGACATGTGTTCCATTTGACCTGGGACAGATGGGATCAACATGGACATTTGCCCTTGGACCGACTGGACTAATTTTGAGTTATTTGGCCCTCATCTCCAGTGTCCCCATTTTGAGGCTCTTTCTCCTGAATCTCTAGATGCTGTAGAGGCTCTAGAAGCCCTGGAGTTGTAGACAGCATGGTAAAGGACTTGCCTTGTACTTGATCACTGGTTTTGTGGAAAAACAAATAGGTAGGGCTCCAGGCCGGTGGGAAGTCTGTGACCCCACAGGCCTGGGTGGGGGGGTCTCACGGTCTCCAACCTTTAGTTAAACCAGGACTGTGTGAAAAGCCGAGCAGCATAATCTTACTTTAGAGGCATAAATACTCGTGAAATGACAACGCACACACACACAGAGCACACACACATACACACACACACACACACACACACACACACACACACACACACACATAGAGCGCACTGTGGTAAAATCCCTCTAGATCTTCCATCACATAGCACGTATGTGCAAGAAAGACACAGAGATGCCATCACAGTGAGAACCAGGGCAGGAGACATCTTTGGGGGTTCCCCTCTGCCGTGTCACACCGTGACACGATGTGACACCTCATACATACTTGCACAGGAGCTCTGGTACCTCCGTGACAGTAATTTGCACAATGAGTGTTCGATGACAATAAAGTATCTCATAACATTTTAGGTGCCACCTAGAAAATAATGCTTTAAACTAAGCTAATAACCTTGAGGTCTCCTTGGTACTTTTAGCATTAGTTTCTTATTTATCAAGGTTTTTTAGAGTCGCAATATTAAAATACGTGACTACACAGTAACTGTCAGTTGTCACTCACAGGGGACCCCAGAAGAAATGTCCTCCTTCAGGTGGACGTGGAAATCGCAGGGTCCTCACAATGTGCTTCTCTCTCCTTCAGGTCCTGTACAACTTGTTCAAGTCCTTCTGCCAGATGAAGACCATCGAGATCGTAGACGTGTTCGCGGGGATCGCTAATTTCTTTGTTGTCGGCATTGGTGGGGTGCTGATTGGCATCTTCCTGGGCTTCATAGCGGCCTTCACCACGCGCTTCACACACAATATTCGTGTGATCGAGCCGCTCTTTGTCTTCCTGTACAGCTACCTGTCCTACATAACAGCGGAGATGTTTCACCTGTCCGGCATCATGGCGTAAGTACTTCCTAGCTGGAAGCCATGGTGCGTCGGTGCCCCTGAATCCCTGCGTACTAGCGGTGGAATCAAAGCTGATGGGAGAGATAAGATTTTCCTATTGTAAAGACAACTGAAATAGACTTTTCCTATCTCTCATGATAAAGAAATCAACTTCACACATATCTAGTTTGGCGCTAAGAAAAGAACTATCTAAAAGTTACCTCTTGGGTTTCCCAAGAGCAGTGACAATAGACCTTTGGGGTGGTTTTTAGTCAGACACCAGAACTGGATGAGTCTCCTCTCAGTCACTGTGTCCCTTGTGAGGGACCATACAGTATTCCAACAAGACCACGTCACCCACACTACTCAAGGGTCAGTATCTGTTGAAATAAGCTTAGTGATAGAACTATTTTATCCAGTAGATAAAACTGCAGCTTAAATTCACTGAAAGCAAAAGCCAGCCAATCAAAGATGCTATCATGTAATTTTAGCCTAGTATATTTTAGCTAGTGAGTTCTGATTGTAAAGCAGGAAACTGGTTATTTGTCCATCAAAGACATAATTAATGTATCATTTATTGACTGACTAAGAGAAAGACTCAAAAAGTACCCCAAATGGACTGTGGAGTGGGATTCCCAAAACAAGCCTCTCGCAGTGGAGGACCAGGGCAAGGACATCTTCTTGAGGGGACCGTAAAGTGGTCCCTTCAGTGCAGATAGGTCAATGAGGAACTCGTAGTCATGAGTAACGAGATGCCTTATTGTTTTTATTATGTTACACTGACAGGGATTGAGGCGCAGTCCTGTACCCTAGAACCTGCTAAACATGCGTCGTAGTTTTGTTTTCAAGGAGCATAGGCCTCATTCTCTCTGAGCTTCACCTGGCATCCGGGGTTGGGTGATGCTCTGATGAGAAACTGTGGCATGGCTTATGTCAGCTGTTTCATATCAGGAGCAGGTGAGGACTGCAGGAGAGGAAGCCAGAGCCCCTCACAGGAAGAGCAGAGCTCACCAGCAGGAAAGCCACAGCTTAGAGCCCGCTGGTCTTCAGTTTTGCACGGAACCTAAATAAAGCAGTGCGTGCACCCAGCATGACCCAGGAATGGATGAGCCGCTCTGTGTCTCCTGGTTGCTATTCCTATCATTTGTACGGCTTCCAGCTTCCTTACTCTTCTGTGAGCTGTGCAGTTGGAAATGTGTGATCAGCTGGTGCCAAGGCTGGGCAGGGGCGGGGGCGGCGCTGGCATCTCTTTCACAGCAGGGCTGTTCTAGAACAGTTTGCATCGAAACCTGGAATTGCCAGGCGGGAGCAGCTTATGCCTTGCTGCACACACACACCTAGAACTGCAAGGCAGCTGGATGCAGGAGTCATTTTCCTGAAGATGCACAGAGCGGGGTTCAGTGAAGAGCTGGCTGGGGCTGGAATGGGATGGGAGGGGTGCACCCGAAATGTCAGCAACTCTTGGAGCCACATAGTTGTGACAGACAACATCAGCCGCCTGCATTGTCCATCAAGCTACCTGGCTGTATTAGTTGCTTATTTCTGAATTCCCAGCATTGCACAAGGGGCCTCCCATCCCGGTGGACCCCAGCAGACATTTCCAGGGGTGACAAACACCTCTATCTCCAACTTCAGCCCCAGCATTTCTTTTACAACTTAGGGTGCACTCTTACCTGACACTTAAACTGATACTGACACTGCCCAGATTGGGTGCCAAAATAGTGATGTAGCCTTTCAGTGGGACATCTCAGGAGAGGTCAGCGAGTCTGCACTCTGAATTACCTAGCTCACCACTGTCAGTGGACAGCTGAAGAGTCAGAGCAGGGCTGCCCTTCCCCAGGCTGGGGGCGCGGTTTCCTAAAGTGGGCAAGTTGACCTGCAGCTCAGTGGCCAGCTTGCTGGAGGCCACTGTGTATGGTGTGGGTGACCGTGCATGGTAATTACTCATGGACCTTGAATGCCAGTCCAAGGGACAGATTCATGAGGCTGTTAAGCTTGTGTGTCCACTAGTTGTTACAAGAGTCCTAATTTTTTTTTTCTGGGCTCAAATTGCACTGAGCTTAGAAATTCCTCTCATACCTCCTGCTAATTGCATCCCTTTTCTTGCTATTTAAAAACAAATTTGAAGGTTAATGGGAACAAGACCCTTAAGGGGCTGAGCCTGTTGGATGAAGGCTTTCCCTTGTTGAAGACAGAGGCAGCTCCCAGAGTGAAGCAGGCAGCCAGGGAGGCAGGGCAATAGCCTCTGAGCAGCTCTCGGGATTTACATAATTGTTGCAGAACTGTGCACCTGCGCCTAGTCTGCCACCCTCCTCCCCCACTTTCTTCTGTCTGTCCATCTCCCTCTGTCCATCTCCTTCCTCCTCTAACCACTTTCCAGGACTGTAACTCACTGTCCATGAGCTTTGCCTTGGGTGGACTCTTGGACAGCCTGTCCCGGAACAAGATCACATCATGAACAGATTGTTAATGAAAGTCTGATTAAAAAGAAACTTACTTGTGCAGATCCAAAGACTTGGCTTTGGGTTCAAAATGCACCCCGTCTTTGAAGTAGGACAACCCCAAGGAGGGTTGCAATGTCCTGGCTTCTTCGGCAAGATGTGGGAGGTAGTGCCTCTCCAGTGGCCCAGCCCCCAGCTACTGAGGCTCTTTGTTGCTGTCCTGAGACTGTGGCTTTCCCTGTGTGTCACCAGCTAGGGCCACCTCTTTGCCTCTGTCTTGTAAAGTGTTTGGAGAGATGACTTCTTTCAAACTGGTGTTAGGGAATTATTTCTGTTCAAGTTTTAGTGTGTATTCAGAATTTTAAATTTGAGCACTCAGAGGGAAGGTGAAATTTCCTGTTTTTAAGTGTTTTACTGCTCATGTATTTGCTGCCATAGGGAACACCGTGTGTGTGTGTGTGTGTGTGTGTGTGTGTGTGTGTGCGCGCGCGCGCGCACGTGCCCATGCATGTGTGATGGGCTTTCTGGGTTGGATTCCACGATGCTAGATATCACTTGAAGGGAAAGTCTCTGCAGTCCCCTAAACAAGAACCTTTCCATAAATCCAGTTATGGGCCCTTTCCACAACAGAGAGATGGCAGTGATGCGTCATGGCCACTTTTAGAAATTCTTATCTTGGGGCTGGGGATTTAGCTCAGTGGCATAAGCGCCTGCCTTGCAAGCAGGAAGTTGTGAGTTCAATCCCTGGTACCGATAAAAACAAAAAAGACAAAAAAAAAAAAAAAAAAAAAAAAGAAATTCTTATCTTGGCCTCTGTGTTTTGGACCTCACATTCAGAGAAAAGCTCAGGGAGGAAGCACTGGTGACCCTGCTCACATTGGGGCACATCTCCCCACTTTCTCCTCTTGCCTGAGATCATTGCAGATGACTCGGTGACTTCTGGGAATCCTGCCTTTTGGAGTTTGCTCACCTCTCCCAGACTCCAGGTACCTCTGGGTCCTCATCCTATGTCTCATGCAGTCCCCTGGGACTCTGGAAGCACAGTGTCCTCAGGTGGACATGCTCCTCAGGACCCCCTCCACAGCAGCCCACTGCCCCCCCCCCCCATGTTGATCTCTTTCATGGGCCTCACATGGGTAGCTGCTTCCTCCTGTGGATAGGAGAGTAGATGCCTGTGTTTCTTAGTTTTGCATCAGTGGGATAATAATTCCTTAGTCTTTCTTCCTTCAAATTACTTCATTTCTAAGCATTTTCCATTTGTCTTGACTATTCTAGAAGTATTACTGTAACGAAGGTGGGAAGTGGGGATTATTAGTCTCATTTTATGAATGTGGAAGTCGAGGCCGGTTGACAAACTATGGCTGCTTAGTGACTCGGTGACCAGTGATACCTGGACCCTGGGTCTCCAGAGAAAGACCAGTCCAGGCCCTTAAAATGGAAAAACCAGCACAAGTCCAAAAAAAAGACTAAATGAGAACTTACTAGGAATGTCTGGAACGATTGGGTCGAGACTGAAGCCTAGGGTCAGGTCCATCTAGGAGCTCCTCTCCTCTTTCCTTCCTCTTTACCTTCCTAAAGTCCAAAGTGCTCATCTGTTAAAAACCATCAGGGACACAGGAAGGCTCACCTTTGTTTGCCGTCCTGTAGTCTGTTTACTTACCCAGTGATGGAAGAGAGGACTTCAGTAAGGCTTGGAGACCAGGAAGGTGATGGGAGAACGTCCTTGAAGACTATCTTAGTGCAGGATGGGGCTCAAAGCCCTTTTATCTTTACAGAGCAAGTGAAGAAACTTGGCAGCTGCTGATCTGTGGATCCCCATCAGTCTCCAAGCGGGAGGAGTGAGACCAGAGAGGTTTTGAGAATCCATCCTTTGCTCTGAAGCTTTGGTGCTGAAAGCTGCTGTCCTGGCAGAGCCAGGCTCTCCACAGATCACACAGTTTAAAACAGACTTGGCCTTCATGCTGACGTTTTGAAGTGTGAGGATGAGCAGATGGACTTGGGTGGAAGGACAGCAGGGACCAAGGAGCCTGGACTCTCTGTCTCCACACCTCTGCACCTTTCAGAGTGCCTTCTCTTACTCTGGAAAGTGTTAATGTACTTTTAATTATGGTGTAAGCCTTCGCTGGTAATTCTGATTAGGCAAGACTGAGCCCTCTAAATCTGTGGTGACCATCCAAACATAAAGGATGAAAATTAGGTAACAAGAAGACAAAATACACCTGTTTGTCAGCCTTGGTCACTGCAGCACAGTGTCTGAGACAATCAACCTAAAAGAAGAAGGTTTGTTTAGGCTCACGGTTTCAGAGGCTGCAGTCTGTGGTCTGTTGGGCCTGTTGCCTTGGGGTCTTTGGTGATGAGGCACACAGCATGGTGGGGAGCACATGGTGGAAAAACTTTTATTTTATGGCACCCAAAAAGAGAGCAATCAAGAGATAGAAAGGCTCCCTGGGGTCCCAACATCCTTTTCAGGGGCCACCTAGAGTGACCCAACTTCCTTCCAGCTTCCCCTACCTCCCAACCATATCTCCCCAGGGTCCAAGCTCAGCATAAGCATCTCTGGGGACATTCAAGGCCCAT